AATCAATCAATCAATTAATAAATCAAATCACAATGCTCAATGACAAAAAAATGTCCCGAAAAGTCAATCTCCCCCAAATTCAAACCCAACAAAAAAAGGAATCCCAGCCCTCTCCCCCCCCGCCCCACCCCACCCAAAACGCCCAACTGCCTCTCCCATGTTGCCGGTGCCGCCGGTGCCGGCGGGGCCGTGCAGCCCCGGGACACGGGCCTGCACGCTAAACGCGGATCTTTTGTGGCCGTTCAACTTGCGAGTGTTGGCAAGGCTCCTGGATGCTGCGCTTTCAGGAATACTCGGGGTGGATCAAAAGGTCCCGCTAATGGTCATTTTGCAAATATTGATCAACCCTAATTTCTCACTTTCTTTCTGCTCCCCTGCTATTTTTTTTACTTTTTGTGGTTTAATGGAAAACCCATTCGTTGGCAGTCCTAACATCTAAGCAATATGCACCAAAGAATACGTTTGGAGAGTCCTACGAAAAACAGTTCCCCCCCCCCCAGACATTACATGCTTGAGGTTCAACCTGGAAGGCAAAGCCTTCAGGTCTATGGCGGTGAGACACGCCGCCGCCCACATGCATCCTAGGGGAGACATGGAGGGCACTTTCTTGGGGCTTAAGAACTTATGTCTAGTAACACCTCACACCCAAATGGCTCCGTTCTGCGCGCTTGCTCCGTGGGCCAAGGTTCCAAGCACTGGATTCGCAAGATGCCAAAAAGAGCAAAAAAACATGAAAGCCCTCAAGTTATAGATGCAGGTCTTGCTGAGCCTTGTTGGTGAGCTTTGGTCTTTGGTCATGGATGAGTCCATCTTCTTGGGGGCTGAATTCATCCAAGCGCAAGATGCAAAGAAGATTTGCGCCGCATCAAAACCAGTTGGACACCCCAAAGGGGGCCGGTTCATTCCAACAAAACTCTACGGGCCGCTGGCGGCTCCCAGCTTTTGAGCGGCCTTTGGGGGGGTCGTTTCAGGAGCGAGCGAGCAAACAAGAAAATCGGGACCATGGGGAGCCGGAAGAAATCAGTCGAAGATCGGACAATGGGGAGCCGGAAAAGGAAAAAAAACAAAAAACGGCCTCCACGGAGGACTTGAGAGTGTGCAAAAATCCTTCCTCTTCTGGGCCTCGGATTTTGTTCGGGTCCAACAGCTCTCCTCTCTCACCGTTCTCAGCGATCTCACGCTGGAGCGCGCGAAGGAACTTCTGAGAAAGGTGAGAGCCAACTGAGTCATCGTCAAAACCCGGGATTGAAATGGTCGATCCCCGGAAGTACGCTCCGAGAATTAAGGCGGATCTCCGCAGCTATTTATGGCTGGGGGCACTCCTAACCTTCATCTACCCACGTTTTGCGCAACTGAAGGTCACGGAACCCTTCAGCCCGTTTGGACAACTCGAACGCTCGCTGGGCAGCGGACCAAGTTCCAACGAAAGGGCGAGCCCGGTGGCAGAAATCCTGGCGCGCGAGCCCAAAATTTGCCATTCCGCACTTACCTCGCAAGCGCAAAACGTGGGCTGGCCATCCCGGTCATCCCTCTACATCTTGTCATCCACAATGTTCACAAAAGGTTCCCAAGGCGGTGAAAAAGGAAAGTGGACCCTACTTTAGGCCAAGCAAGATGTATGCTGGTGATCCAAGTTGGCCTCTGGGGTCGTACGCTGCCACGATTTCGCCTGGCGAATTCAACTGCGAGCTCAGTCATCGCAGTCAAAACCCAGCACCTGTCTGATGGAAGCTTTCAAGGCTGGCTCCAAATCACCTCCCAATTCACCCGGTCCGAAAAAAAGAAACTCAAAAATTGCCCCCCCCGCGTCTCCTTGAGCACATTGGATCCCTCTTCAAAAGATAAAGAAACTGTTCCAGTGGCGGACGGTTGGTGATTGGAGGCTCCTGGGCCAAGCTCAGCCTCATTGCCCAACTTGTCCAGAAAAGAAGGAAAGTGTGGGGGGCTCCCTCCTTGGCAAAATCGCCTCCCAATTCTCGCCTGGGCCAAAAAAAACAAACTCAACTCCTTAAAAAGTTGGGGGCACATGGGATCAAAACAAAATGAAACGGATGGGGCTCCCATGGGCTCCCCAAAAAGTTTGAGCAGAACAAGCTCCACGGCCTTTGATCGTTCTTCAAGATCTGCTGCAGGACCTGCGATGCATCAGGTCCCTTGCGTCCGAATCGGCACCACTTGGGTTCGCCAAGGCCACCTACTCACGGTGTGACTGAAATTCATTCTTGACATATTTTGCATGTGTATATATATATATATATGTGTGTATGCGTATATATAAATATGTATATATATATATATTATATCTGATGTATATATATATATGGTACCCCCCCCCTGGAATACTCAGGTGGTTTGGCAAAAATTGACATTTTGGCTGTAAAAATGCATGCCAAACACATGCGTTCCAGCTTCCAAAATGAGGCTCTAAAATATGAACTCCTTTTTAGACTTAAATCCTAGCATCGGTACTTAGTGCAATCGAGGATGCGCTAGCACGTGCTAGCACATCCTGGATTGAAGATTGAAGATACTTGTTCTGGAAATCTTCAATCCGACCTTAGGACTAACTGATATGTGCTGGCACGTGCTAGCACATCCTGGATTGAAGAGTGAAGATTGAAGATTCTCTGACAACTCTCTCTGGGATTCTTCAATCTTCAATCTTCAATCCGGGATGTGCTAGCACGTGCTAGCACATACCAGTTTGTCCTCAGGATGGATTGAAGATTTCCAGAACAAGTGGTCTGAGAATCTTCAATCTTCAATCCAGGATGTGCTACTCTAAGTACATATTTGGAGAATTTCAGAAAAAGGTTGTCAGAGAATCTTCAATCTCCCATCCAGATCCTGGATTGCCTTAAGTGCGGATTGGAAGAATCCAAAAGGCAGACCGGGAGCGCAAGTTGTCAGAATCAAAATGTGGATATGCACTTGCACTGCCTGCAATTGGCCAGGCGGAAAATTGTTGCTGACACCATTGCAGTTTTTTTGTGGACTTGAGGGCTGGCCAGGATGGAAGGTTCTCAAGTAGAAAATATGGTAGATCTTCAATCTTCAATGCAGGGGACGAAACCTTACTGAGTCTGGAACAAACTGTCAAGTTTTTGGGGGACCAGGATTGAGTATATTCTAAACATATGTTTGTGGAATCTTGTATATTCGATGTTCGATCCAGGGCAACACGACCTGAGCAAATGCTGAATAACACTGCGTTTTACAGAATTTATGCAAATAATAGGAACTATGATTGAAAACACGTTCCTGTCATTGGCTTGGCTCAGTTCTTGTTTGGTTCAAACCACATGGAGTTCGATAAGGACAATAACCCTTTCAACATTGAGTTTGGTTCCAAATTCATTTGGCCATGACAATAGCTGTCTTCTCCAGTTGCTTTTTGATATGCACAAGAAACTGCAAACAAGTAAACTTGAATTTGGTTTGAACTCGAAAGCTTTTTTAACTGGATGTTCTTCCCTTACTTGAATTTCGATAGCTGTTATTGGCGATGATGGAACCAACTTAGACAAGCAACACACACACGCATGGGATAGTTGCTTTGCAACATATGTTTCAAATAGACTGAACTAGCATGTCAGGAATTATGCACAACACTCGAGTTAGCATGTAAATGCAACTGCGCAAGGACATGAATTAGGAATGAGAGCTCCTTTTCCCCGAATTGATGTTTTGCTGAATTTCGCTGCCAAACAAAAATAATAAACACCAAATAATAGGGGCTGCTACAGGCGCGTTGAAGCTGGCAAAACATACTTCGCGCACTACTCCTGTACTGAACAGTTGTGTTTTTTTAGCTGGAGCTGCCAAATTGCACTTTGCACTCCAATGTGACTTTAAGTGCACTTCGCGCACGCCAATGTGACGGTGACACAACTCGCAACTCCTAATCAACGTTGAGCTTAACTTCTGCTTGGTTAGTGCGGTTTTGGGCGAACACGAAGTAGCCCAGGGAATCAAAGAGGTACACGTGGTCCACGAAGTACCAAAAGAACCCAGTCCCAAAGCACAATGGAGAAGGTGCTGATGACCAGGTTGGGGGAGTGACAGTTAAAGAAGATCAAGTTAGGGATGGTTGGAAAACAGGTAGATATAGGTGAAGCGACCTGCCAAACCCAGGCAACCTTAGCACAACACTCCAACCACCTCCTACCACCGGTAGCCAGCCGCTCCACGAACTTTTCCGCGAAGAAGCAAGCCGCCGCCGTGATATGGCGGTTGCACAAGTGTCCTAGAGCAGCCTGTCGGGAGACAGGAAACTTGAGCCAAACGGCCATTCGGCCGTTCTGCCTTATGAAGAAACAATACGTGAACAAAGCACAGTTAGAATTTGCATGGAGTTTAGTGTCCAGTTCATTTCAGAGTCTCAAGGCATTTGTCACCCCCAGTCTGGCCAAAAACCTCAGTTCTGCCCAAAACTTCAAGGGGAAAATACAGGTCAACCGCACCAAACCAGGGTCCATGGGGGGGGGGTACCATATATATATATATATATATCATATGATATACTATATGTGTTGTCTTCTTCCGCGCGGAACAGGCTCACTCCGCGCCACATGCGGTTCGAAAACGAACGCCTCTGGGGCCACTTGAGCTTTTCGGTGTTGGTCTCCGAACTCCAAATGGCTGTGGGTCAAAAAAAGGGCAACCCCAAAATGGCTTGCCCTGGTAAATGGAGGCAAGGACTGATTCCTGTGGTCCCCTGGTGGTTTAATTTTGACCCATACCCAAATCTTTCGGGCGGAGACCCTTCGAGTTCCCGTGACAACATGGACGGAAATTCACTGCCCAACATCCTTCATGGCGGGGAGCCACTTGTTTTGTCAAGACGCCTAAATGACACGGGAAGACGAAGTTGGCTTGTGCGTTGAAGTCGCCCCTGTGTTTGCTCTGCGGAAACTGGGCAGGTGTCATGGAGGAACCCCAAAATGGTTGGTTTCCCTTTCGTTTCCCTTTGGTTTCCCTCGAAAGATTTCCCTTCAAGACCAACCCAAAAAAGGAGTACCCTCAAAAAACGCACACACACACACACACGAAAATGTTCATTAGATTTGGCTCGCCCCTAAACCCCAGCTAAAAATTTGCCAACCTGAGTACTATCCAATATGAGTGTGTCTTCTTTTGAGGATACCCCCTTGTTGGTTGGTTTCAAAAGGAAACCGATCAATGTTGGGGGCCCGGAAAAGAAAAAAAGAGGAGTCCCAGATGGCGAAAAAAGTATGGCTGCCTCAAAACACCCTCGAACATACATGGCTGCTCAAGAAGTGGGTACCCAAAACAGAACCTTGGAAAGAACATTCAAACCAGCGGTCCATGAGTGGTATCCAATATGGGTCTATCTTTTTGAGACTACCCCCTTGGTTAGTTGGTTTTGAAGGAAACCAAAAGGAAACCCGAAAGGAAAACCTGCGGTACCATATCCATACCCACATACCCATTCCCATATAGCCAATTCCCAGGGCTCCGGCCATGCGAGCCGCCATGACGGCGAAGGGTCCAAACCTGCAACTGGTCACTTGAGGCGACCTTTTTCCGCCCTTTTCGCGGGGGGGTGGGTGGGGGGTGGGGGGGGCGGGTGCCGGGGGGGGTGGGGGTGGCCCCTAAAAAAACATGGCCGGGGGGAAGGGAGACGGGGGGGTGCCTTGCAAAGAGAAGCCCTCCACCAAAATGTCATGCACGAGTCCCTCCAAATTCGCGCTGGAAAAAAAGAAGGAAACGCTACTTCACTTAGGAACCCTTCATGGGGTGGCCCGTCTTCACTGCCGAGACTTGGCACTGGCAATCTCCTTGGCTTCGGCCCTTTTTGTATGACGGACGCTTAGGGTCTATCTTGCAACCTCCTTCATTTCGGGTCTTGGCTTTCTGAGGCTTGAGTATGCAACAAACACTCGTGTCCATGGCACCCCCCAAAAATACATGAAAAAAAGGAGGAAAAAACGAAAACTGCCCAGCCCCGAAAAATAAATCCCCCAACTTCGGCCCACACGCGCACGACAACGCCGCCTATTGTCTGGACTCCAAGTTCAAGACGGCCTCGGTCTCGAAATGGACGCTTCAACCGGTGAGAGGCGGGCCTCCTAGCTGGGCCATGGTCTAAAAAACCAAAAATTCATCTCCAGATCTAAGTCCGGCACGCAGCTGCGCCTCAGCCGCCCCGCCATTGGTCGCATCTACCTAGCTCTCAGCGTTGACACTCCCAGCACATGCGCAGCTGCGCGAATTCTCTCTCCGGCGCGAATTTGAAAAATCTGAATCGTGGTGGATCTAGATCTGGATCTGTTGGATGCCTGCCTGAAACCATTTGCTTCCACATAGGAAGGTGTGATGAGGAAGGCTGCTGCTTGCTCGCTTCAACCTGTCAACACTCCGGCCGCCTGGGCCGCTAGCGGACATGTCAACGCCCATGCTTGCAAGTTGCACCACAAGCCGCAATCCGCTCGCTTCCTCGCTTCCTCAAGTGACAACAGCAACGCTTCTTGTTCCGCACATCGGCCTTTATCTCACTGAAGCCGTCCTCACTTGAGGCCCATTAGCCTTGTCCACCGGAGCTGACAAAAGAATCCGCTCGAGGACCTGTCATCCGGGAGTCTAATGTTTCCAAAACAATTGGACTTTGGTCTCTGCAGTCGCCGTCAAGGCCTTGCCCGAGATCTGGCAGTTTCAAGGCACGTGCCAAATCTCCAGGAAACCCAGTTGACGGACGCCAATGCTACAAAAATCGCCGTGCGCGCCACACAAACAACACCCTGACCTGCACCTGCAAGCTCCCGGGCCCGACTTCGCAAAGCTTACATCGCCTCTTTGGAAGTAAGAACCACTGCCAAAGCTACCTGGGTCAAAACACCCACAAACCCAGATCAGATGCCATGTCATCCCATCCCCCTTGGCCCGCGCCCCAAACCTTCCTTGAAACTCGGGGGGAGGAGAAATTAACCAATGTCCAGCATGGAAAACGAGCGACTGCACAACTTTTCTCCGAGTTGCATAACCCGCGGGCTCTTTGGCCCATGGCCCACCGCTTCCGGCCGGCAGCACCATGCGGTTGCTTAGATGGCTCTCGGAGAGGCCAGGCCACTGCGAGAGGCGGATGGCACACAGATTCCATGATGCCTTGCAGCACATCCAGGAGCAATCCAGCTGTCCGAGGCTCTGCGCTTCACTTTGGACACAAAATCCTTTTTGCCCCGGGCGCCGCCAAGCATGATGGAGGCAGACGTGGCTCTGCGAGTGCCAAGATGTCTGATGTCGGTGCATGTTCACCATCATTTGCAAGACAGCCCACAAAACAAGCTGAGGCGCATTATAATGTCTGACTGTTGCTCATGACCCCGGGGAAGCCATCCAGCTCCACCAGAAGGATATGATTGAAACCCATCGACGCGTTCCTGAGTCCATCGGTCGCACTCTAATAAGCGCTTGACGAGGACAAGATCATTCGCATAGCTTTGGTGACGCTAATACAGAGTGGTGTTCAAGTTGCTCAGCGTGGGCAGTGAAATTATGCGGTCAATTCGGTGGATCTCGTCACTCAAACTAACAGAACCCTTGGTCCGTGCAGGTGTGCAAGTAGTTTGGATGTCCAACCCACACGCGCAAGGAACAAGGCAGAACAAGGCAGTGGCCGCACTCACATATCCTTGAAGGCTTTTCCAAAAGGAAATGAATGCACTCGGATGACTGCCAAGCCAATGTCTGCATCCGTATGTCCTCAAATGTTCTGGCACAAGACAATGGCTGCATTTGCTCGTCCTCGATGGGGTTTTCTCTCACAAGGCGATTGCCGCATTCGGATGGCCTCGAAAGATTTCCTCGAAGGATTTGCCACACAAGGCAATGATTATTTTTGCACGTCCTCAACGGTTTTTGTCTCACAAGGCGATGGCACTTTTGCAATTGGCAAACTTCGGGAAAGAGCCCGATCCAACGTAGTGCTATTTCCCGCATTTAGCAGCATCGACATCTGTCCAGAAACACACATCAAATCACGCCAAATCACGGCCGTTGATGGATGTGCCTAAAAACTGGCGTGCGTTGGGACCAAATGTGAGTGTGTGTGTGTGTGTGTGTGTGTCACGCATGGCATACATTCAGTTCAACAGCAGTCAGCCCTCAGTCTGAGTCCGGCCTGATCCTGGACGTCACAAGCCTTTGCATCATCTTGCCTTGCCTTGATGCATAAACTTTACACCGCCATCCACGACAAAGAGTCTCTGTTATCCGCAGCAAGCACCATGCGCAAGTCCACAAAGTGGGTGAAAATTGAAAGTGCAACACACGGGCTTAGCCCTGCAGCTAGTGAGCTGCGTCGCACCGCAGTTGCCAATCGGCGCAGGCCCGTGCGTCCATTCGGACGCAAGGGCTTCAAGCTGCAAATTGTGCATTGACGTCCAGCCCTGTGCATGGGAAAGGTTGCCGGTGAAGCCATCATAGTCTCATACGCAAATTGTTGGCAATTCTACCCTTGACATCCTCTGAGCATGAACTACCCTCAGATTGCTTCATCCCGCAAAAAGAGACAGTCTCCATCTTGTTCGGGGGAAAAAGAAGCAAAAACGCAACTCTCTGCTCTCGCAGCCAAACACGCTGAAAGGTGCTGATGCAAAGGGTTCAGGCGCAATCCAGCACAAGGTTGGCTGCACGAGCGCCCCTTCCCACACCCCTAGCTGTTCTGATCACCGTTCTGGGCGCTGTTCGGGTGAGCCAGTTGCGCATATGTTCACAGCAGCAAACTCGGGCGCGGTTGAAAGGTTTCTTGTTCTGCACCGTTCGGCCAGAACTCGTGCAAGAGCCGCGTTTTGTTCCACTTGGCAGGAGAAGCCGCGCCGCCTTACTCGCTTCCGATGGCCCACGCTCGACCTTTTTGCCAGCAAGTTGCAGCTGTTCGGCAAGCAGTCTCCACAAAAATATAGGGCCAAGCATGGTTGGATATCCCACCAGCCAAGACGACTGGTCCACGTGTAGATAGCTGTCAAGTTACCTTGTCAGGCAGCTCAGGCTTCTCTCTTTGCAGGCCAACGTGCCTTACAGGGATGTGTTGGGCTTGTAGGTTCCTCTGCTTCTCTGGAGTCGCAGGCCAGAACAAAACACAACCAAGCATCATCGGTTGACAGGCTTGAAGCTGCCCCTGAGGCTCCACTGTCAAGAATTCCGCCATCCATAGGTGCGAGCCGTGAAGACAGGGTCGAGGGTGTGCAAATGAGGGCAAACCCTTCTGAGCTTGAGTGGCTGTTGCCTTTTGAGTTGCCTGGAGCTCGATTGGGCTCGTATCCATGCAGGGCTGACTGGAGTCATGCATGGACGGGGTAAGGGTGGCGACTGCAGCAGCTTACAAGCATCTGCCTTCAACATGTTTCTCAGCCCTGTCTAAATTAGCATTCAAGCCCTCGGCTTTCTGAAGGCAAGCGAAAGCCATATATCATCTTTGCGGATGCGTGAGCCGCATCTGAAGCTGGCTTAGCCTTACCCGCAGACTCCGTTTGCCCTATTGGTTGCGCAGATTGCGCACATGTTTTCTTGCGCGCGAACACAAAGTAAAGCCGTTTGGCCGTGATTTCGCAGCCATTGACCGTGATTTGAGGCAATTGTCCGTGATTTCATGCGATTTATTGACCGCAACTTCACCCATGCTTTCATAGCTTTCACGACTTTGAGCTACACCAATTGGACAAGCGCCGCTCCAAAACTCTAGCCCGAGCTGTCGTACATCCTACACACCTAGCCCCTCGTAGTGCGCACTATAATGCCATGTTTTCTCGATGCAGCAAGCTTCGCAACATGTTTGGCGACCTAAGCACACAAAACCAACCAGACTTCGTCTGTGAAAATTTCCTGCGAGCTGCATGCGCAAAGGCGAGAGCATCCCAAATGTAGCAACGGAAAAGGGGAAACAGAAACTTCGTGCGCAAATTTATCCGGGAGGCCCGGGAAGCTGCAGCGGCTCCTAGGGCCGCAACTGCCGCCTGGGCGACGCGATGCTGGTCAGAGGAGCGGGAGCTTCCCAACGAGCATGGCTGTGTGACGGAGTTGCCGGAACTGATAGGGGATGAGAACCCGCTCACGCCAACCGGATGGCCACCCTGACCAGCACCCAAAACAGCTTGAGCAGCACACTCTCACTGCGCAGCACAATCAAACACCACAAGTGACAAGCACCGAACAAGCACCGCAAGCAGCCACCACAACACCTTGACATAAGCACACAAACAGCACCCTGACCCGCACAAACTTCACCCTGACCAGCACCCTGACCGGCACCTTGCACCCACCCCGGTTTCGGAAAACAAAACCCGCCTCTTTGGAAGCAAGAAGCCAAATATGCCTAAAGCCATCTGGGGCAAAACACAAACCCCGCAACCAAACAGGGCGATGCCATGCAGTGCTTCATCCATCAACATGTACAACGAGTGATAGCGCAATTTGTCTCTTCCGAATTGCATAAGCTGCGGGCTCTTTGGCCCATGGCCCTTACCGGCACTGTGGCCGGTCCCCCCATGAAGCGCACGATGTGGGTTAGATGGCTCGGATCGAGGTACACGAAAAGTCGGCCATCACTGCTCCAGCTGCAAGAGGAACGTCAACGGCCAGAGATTCGGGCACACAAATTCCATGATCCAAAGTTGCAAGAAAAATCCCGGAGCCATCAAGCTAATGACTAAGTTTGGGATCGTTCCTGAAATGCCCCGAGGCTCTCCGCTTCACTTTGCTGCGCAAAGTAGGGCTACAAACTGCTTGTCCAGCCCTGGCGCTGTCAACCATGATGGAAGCCCCCAGACGTGGCTCAAGCTGTGAATCTTCACTGTCATTTGGAAGCCACTCAACCAACACCAATTGAGGCGCACAAAAACAAATTGACTGTTGCTCATGTCCGCGCGAACCACTCCAATTCAAGAAAATATTGATTGAGAACCATCAACGCGTTCCTGAGTCCATCGGTCGCACTCTACTAAGTGCTTGACGAGGACAAGATCATTCCAGCGCATAGCTTTGGTGACGCTAATACAGAGTGGTGTTCAAGTTGTTCAGCGTGGGCAGTGAAATTATGGGGCCACTTCAATATCGACACTCAAACTGAACCCTTGGTCCGTGCAGCTGTGCAAGTTTGGATGTCCAACCCACACGCGCAAGGAACAAGGCAGTGGCCGCACTCACATATCCTTGAAGGCTTTTCCAGAAGGAAATGAATGCACTCGGACTTCCAAGCCAATGTCTTCATCCGTGTGCACAAGACAATGGCTGCATTGGCTCGTCCTCGATGGTTTTTGTCTCACGAGGCGATGGCCGCATTCGGATGGCCTCGAAAGAATTTCCTCAATGGATGCTGACACAAGGCAGTGGCTGCATTCGCACTTCCGCGATGGCTTTTGTCTCAAAAGGCGACAGCCGCATTTTCCTGGCCTCGAACCTTCGGAAGAATTTGACACAAAGCAATGGCTGCGTTGGCACGTTCTCGGTGGATTTGGCTCACAAGGCGATTGCCGCATTCGGATGGCCTCAAAAGAGCTCCTCAATGGTGTTTCACGCAAAGCAGTGGCTGCATTTGAGCGTCCTGGATGGTTCTTGTCTCACAGATTTTGACACAAAGCAGTGGCTTCATTCGCACGTCCTCAATGGTTTTGTGTCGCAAGGCGATGGCACTTTTGCAATTGGCAAGCTTTGGAACACCTGGAGCAGCCATCGAGCCAACGCCCACCCGGAATGAGCGGGCCAAAGAGCCTGATCCAACGTGGCGTTGTTTCCCGCATGAAGCATGAACATCTCCAGGGAGCGAAAGCACGTCAACTCACGCCACAGGGTTGTAGATGGATGAGCCTGGAAACTGGTGCGCGTTGCCCGCGGCAATCAGCCCAAAATTCCGAGCCCAGCTTGATCCTGGAGGTCACAAGCGTTTGCATCTTGCCTTGCCTCCCAAGATGCCTAAACGCCGCCGCGCGGAAAGCGCATTTACTCAAGCCAAGACATCCCTACAAATCCCTGACAGAGGCAGGCAAGTCTCTGCTATACAAAGTGGGAAATTGAAAGTTGAACACACGGGCTCTGGGCTTAGCCCTGCAGCTAGAAGCGCTGCTGCGTCGCAGGGCAGTTGAATCGGCGGCGGCGCAGGCCCCTGCGTCCATTCGGACGCAAGGCTTCAAGCTGCAAATCGTGCATTGCTGAGGTCCGGCCCTGTGCATCAACAAGGTTGCAGGTGAAGCCGTCATAGTCCCATACTCAAATTGTTGGCAATTCTACCCTTGACATCCTCTGAGCATGAACTACCCTCAGATTGCTTCATCCCGTAAAAAGAGACAGTCTCCATCTTGTTCGGGGGAAAAAGAAGCAAAAACGCAACTCTTTGCTCTCGCAGCCAAACACGCTGAGCACAAGGTTGGCTGCACGAGCGCCCCTTCACACACCCCTGGCAGATCGCCAGAGCGGGCGCCGTTCGGGTGAGCCAGTTGCGCATATGTTCACATCGGCAACTCGGTCGCGGTTGAAAGGTTTCTTGTTCTGCACCGTTCGGATTGTTCCACTTCGCAGGAGAAGCCGCGCCGCCTTACTCGCTTCCGATGGCCCACGCTCGACCTTTTTGCCAGCAAGTTGCAGCTGTTCGGCAAGCAGTCTCCACAAAAATATAGGGCCAAGCATGGTTGGATATCCCACCAGCCAAGACGACTGGTCCACGTGTAGATAGCTGTCAAGTTACCTTGTCAGGCAGCTCAGGCTTCTCTCTTTGCAGGCCAACGTGCCTTACAGGGATGTGTTGGGCTTGTAGGTTCCTCTGCTTCTCTGGACCCGCAGGCCAGAACAAAACACAACCAAGCATCATCGGTTGACAGGCTTGAAGCTGCCCCTGAGGCTCCACTGTCAAGAATTCCGCCATCCATAGGTGCGAGCCGTGAAGACAGGGTCGAGGGTGTGCAAATGAGGGCAAACCCTTCTGAGCTTGAGTGGCTGTTGCCTTTTGAGTTGCCTGGAGCTCGATTGGGCTCGTATCCATGCAGGGCTGACTGGAGTCATGCATGGACGGGGTAAGGGTGGCGACTGCAGCAGCTTACAAGCATCTGCCTTCAACATGTTTCTCAGCCCTGTCTAAATTAGCATTCAAGCCCTCGGCTTTCTGAAGGCAAGCGAAAGCCATATATCATCTTTGCGGATGCGTGAGCCGCATCTGAAGCTGGCTTAGCCTTACCCGCAGCAGACTCCGTTTGCCCTATTGGTTGCGCAGATTGCGCACATGTTTTCTTGCGCGCGAAAACAAAGTAAAGCCGTTTGGCCGTGATTTCGCAGCCATTGACCGTGATTTGAGGCAATTGTCCGTGATTTCATGCGATTTATTGACCGCAACTTCACCCATGCTTTCATAGCTTTCACGACTTTGAGCTACACCAATTGGACAAGCGCCGCTCCAAAACTCTAGCCCGAGCTGTCGTACATCCTACACACCTAGCCCCTCGTAGTGCGCACTATAATGCCATGTTTTCTCGATGCAGCAAGCTTCGCAACATGTTTGGCGACCTAAGCACACAAAAACCAACCTGACTTCGTCTGTGAAAGTTTCGCTGCGAGCTGCATGCGCAAAGGCGAGAGCATCCCAAATGTAGCAACGGAAAAGGGGAAACAGAAACTTCGTGCGCAAATGACAAAATGAGGGGGTGCAGAATGGAGCGTGCTTGCCTTTGTGCCTTCAGGCATTGCGTCTGCAAATGATGAGCAGCAAGGAATCTGCCTAGGCAAGACTACTGACTAGAAGAGGCAGCTGATCCTGTCCACGCAGACGTAAAGCGCAACATCCCATCCATGGACTTCAATAACATGGTGCAGGCTCTTTCCGTCGGCCTGCTGACTTTGGGGTGTGTCAAAACCCGCAGGTCTCTGGCTGTTTGATCACACCATCAGATCCGATAATCCAGCACCAATTTAGGGCATTCCTCCATCGATACCGCCGGACAGAACGAGCACTCCAAAGTCTGCGAATCTCCATGCACGACTTCGATGCCTAAGGCAACGAAGGGCCAGGCCATTTCTCTCACAGCCCTTCCCTTTGGTCGATTCGGTGAGGGGTGAGAAACGGCGGGAGAAAATGGGATGTCATCTCTTGGTCTCGTTCTCTGGCTTTATATGATCTGGCTGTCTTTGTTCTTTTTTACGAGACGACGTCGTATGATCCATTCTCATTTCCTAACCCGTAGAAATATTGGCTAAAGATTGGTTGTGAAGAGAATGTCGGCCTGCGGCTTGAATCATTTCTCTATTCTATCTGCTGCCTTTGTGGCCGCGGGGACTAGGATGTCCGGCAAATCTCATCCTTCTGCAAAT